GAAACTGCAGTCCACTCCGGCCGGGATGAGAACAACTTTTGGGAAAGCAAGGCTATGTGAAATTGAATGAGAAAGTCAGCTAAACTCATATGATTGTGGGAAAATTCTACTACCAGTCCTTCATCACTTTACACGAAATATGGTGAATACATCTCATGACATTACCACTAGACAGGATACATGTGACATTTAAAAGCAAATCAGACCTCACCTAAATTACATTTATAGTGGAATGGTCGATTGATGGTCTCGTTAGCTACTTATATCGAAAGCAAGTAACATATTCGATTTGAATGACAAACACATGTTTTGCCTAATCGAAAGTCTCACTATAAATTGTGATTTTGGTGAGGTCCAATTTGCGTTTACTATTCTATCTGCTGTGTGATGTGAAGTGACAATATGGCCACGATACTCACGACCTGGTAGCGAATACCGTCGGAGGTGTTGACGAGACTGGATCAGGCCAGATCACGCCTGGATGGGAATACATTTTGCGCATGAAAGCAATGTGAAATGCATTGGAGGCACGAGTTCTATTTACATAATTATGGAAAATTAAAAAAACTATGTGACTTATGATGCATGCTCGTGTCCTTCGAGCCGGTCACAGGCACTCATAACGTCCATGTTTGGGCCAATGTACTTTCTGTGTAGGTGCTGGGTCGCCGAGAGGGGCGGCTGTCACGCCACGGAGACACTCGGCGAATGTGGAGCTCTCGTGGAAGAAGTCGGTGGAGATCCGACCCGCTCTGCTCTTCCCCTATCAAATGCCGGGGCTCAAGCCGGAAGCCAAACAAACCGGTCTTTCGGGAGTGCAAATCCTGTTGTCGGCCGACAGGTGCGAGTCGCTCGGGCCAGCCTGCTCGACGGCAGCAGCGGGCGTCAGGCCGAGTCTGTTGGTCGAGCGGAGCAGGCGCGCCGGTGCCTGTCGGGCCGACGAGACCGAGGCCTGCGGAGACCGGGAGCGAGTTGGAGAGAGTTGCGAGACCGGAGCAAAGCAGGCGGAAGAGGGCGAGGAGGAGGAAATGGCGGCGGCGGCGGCGGTGGCGAAGGATGAGGAGGAGGCGGCGGAGGAGGAGGATGAGGATGAGGATGAGGAGGAGAATGACGAAGAGGACGAGGACGGCAACGAAGGAGACTCGGGCGGCGACGAAGAGGAGGCGGAAGAGGAGGCGGGCGACGAGCGGCGAGACCCGTCGGTTGCAGACCACGCCGATTCGTCGGCTGCGCGTCCGGCCAGCCGAGGCTCGGACCGGACTGACGTTGAGTCCGGTCGCACAGGTCACAATCTCGAGTGTCAAGTGGGCCAAACGGAGGCTGCGTTGACGGGTCGTCAACGAGTCTGTGCCTTGCAGCGCTCGGCTCAGCGGGACCGTCACAAGCCCATCGGTCCGCCAGGCAAAGAGCCGGCCGTGGCTGAGGTTGCGCCGTCTGGTTCGCTCAAAGGTTGGCCATTCGACTTGTTTTAATGACATCTTAGTTAGGCTGTCGGCCCAGCAACTGGCTTGTCTCGACAACCGATTGCTCGACGGAGGCAGCGCTTTTTTGCATCGTCTTTTCTGTCCACTGGCC